CCTCTGCCTCGGTGATGGAGGCCTACTGGGTTAACCTCTGCCTCGGTGATGGAGGCCTACTGGGTTAGCCTCTGCCTCGGTGATGGAGGGCTACTGGGCTAACCTCGGCCTCGGTGATGGAGGGCTACCAGTTAGCCTCGGCCTTGGTGATGGAGGGCTACTGGGTTAGCCTCTGCCTCAGTGATGGAGGGCTACTGGGCTGACCTCGGCCTCAGTGATGGAGGGGTACCGGTTAGCCTCGGCCTTGGTGATGGAGAGCTAATGGTTAACCTCTGCCTCAGTGGCATGTTTCTATTGAAACTCATGGTTCCTCTATACCACCTGTAGTTTCTTTGGAAGAGAAGTAGCTGTCCCTTAGTAAGGACTGTGGGTGGGGATTTAGGAAGGCAGAAAAGGAGCTAATTTTCTTTTGTCCCTAGACATTCCCATGAGATAGCTATATTTAAGTGTCTTGCTGTGAAAAGGAGTAACATCCTGTAATGATGAAAACTCAGCTTTCGCAAGGATCCCCAGTTGGTCACTAATGTCTCATTCAGCTTTGCCAACAAAGGGTGTCTTCCTTTTGTGAGGGGTTAGGGGCAATTAAAACATTGCCACTATTTGCTTTGGGCTAGAGTTGTATTCTTAAGGCAGCTGAAAACCAAATGCATATTTTCCCGTTGGCACCCATTAGAAAAGGGGAGATTTGTTCCCAAGGTGAGGAGAGTCGATTGGAAGCCAAGGATGAAATAAAACTCAGGTGACTTGCACCTCTGTTTGAGTCATGCATTTTAAGGGAAGGTTATGATTACTTTTTCTTCTTGCCCTTGTCCCCTCTTGTGCATAGTAGGGGCGTCTGGGTTGAAAAGAGTAAAAAATGCTCTGGATAACATGTGCACGGGGCTGAGTTGCTCCCTCACAGCCTGCTCCCCTGGGCACTGCTGGCCCTGTGCTTGGCCCCTGACAGATGCCCCTCCCTGCCCGAAACCCCCTCCCTGACTCTGCCTCCACTGGCAGCAGCCTCCTGGTGGTTCCTGTTCACCTCCTTGTGACCTTCCTCTGTCTGTGTGATCTGGGCTCCTCAGAAAATCCAAGACCTGGAGGCCACACTGTACACAGCGCTGCAGCAGGAGCCGGGGCGGAGGGCCGGTGAGGCGCTGAGCGAGGGCCAGCGGGAGGACCTGCAGGCTGCTGTGGAAAAGGTGCGCAGGCAGATCCTCAGGCAGAGCCGCGAGTTCGACAGCCAGATCCTGCGGGAGCGCATGGAGCTGCTGCAGCAGGCCCAGCAGGTAGGCGTCAACAGCTGCTGTGCCCACAGCACTCCCGGCATCCCTGTCGTCCTGTGTGCACCTTGGCACCCTGATGGACCCCTGAGTGCCCCAGGCTCTTTCCAGGGAGAGTTGGTGGTAAAGCAAGTTTCTAAGAAGCAAGATTTCATAGATGCCCGTCTTAACTCCCTGTGACGAGGCAAGACATTCTATAGAGCAAACGCTGAAACATTCATCCAAACCAAGTGCCTTCTCCCTGGGCCCTCCTCCTCCAGCAACTGCACGCTGTTTCCAGGTCAGTTGCTGGTCACAGGGAGGCATCAGCTGAATGGTTTGCTTTTTTGCTGCCTTTTGTGATGGTGGCTCATTTGAGGATTGGGCCTTCCAGCTTCCATTGAGGTCTGAAAACCTCAATGGAACCAAGGTTCCATGTTGCATGTGAGTTTCATGTGCTACTGAGCACACGGGGAGCTGGGGGCTTCATGACTCCTGATTGACCGTGAAGGGAAAGAAGTAGCAGCATGCAGAGCATCTGTTGGGCGCTCACCGTGTGTTGGGCAGTGGCTCCCTGCACTGCAGATCCCTTATCTCAGGGACCCTACGGGTGGGCACTAGGATGTCCACTTTCCAGGCAAGAGAACTGAGGCTCAGGGAGGTTAGCTCATGTGCCTGAAGGTCACCCAGATAGTAAGGATCTAGATTACTGGCGGGGAGGGATGTCACAAAAGGAAAAAAGAAGGGGGACGTGGTCAGAGAGAGAGAGAGAGAGAGAGAGAGAAAGAGTTTGACTTATTTTATGGAACTAGCTCACGCAACTGTAGATAAAGATCCGCAAGTTCACAATCTACAGGGCACAGCAGAGCCCCAGGGAAGAGTTGTTGCAGTTCAAGCCTGAAGGCCATCTGCTAGCAGCATGCCCCTCTCCTCAGGAAGCTCAGTCTTTCTCTCAAGGCCTTCAGGTGATTGAATGAACCCCCCCACACACATTATGGAGGCTCATCTGCTTTACTCAAAGTCTACTGATTTAGATGTTTATCTCATCTAAAAAAGACCTCCACAGAAACATCTAGTTTGTTTGTTTGTTTTTTGAAATGGAGTCTCACTCTTATCACCCAGGCCAGAGTGCAGTGGCACGATCTCAGCTCCCTGCAACCTCCACCTCTCAGGTCAAGCAATTCTCCTGCCTCAGACTCCTGAGTAGCTGGGATTACAGGCACCCGCCACCACACCCAACTAATTTTTGTATTCTTAGTGGAGATGGGGTTTCTCCATGTTGGCCAGGCTGATCTCAAACTCCTGACCTTAAGTGACCCGCCCACCTAGGCCTCCCAAAGTGCCATGATTATAGGTGTGAGCCACCATGCCCGGCAACATCTAGAATACTTGACCAAATATCTGGGTACCATGGCCTAGCCAAGTTAACATAAAATCAATCATCATCACCATCAAAGGGAAAGGGTATTCTGGGCAGCAGAGCAGCATGGTGTGGGTCAGCTTAGGGCAGCAAAGAAGCTGAAAACACAGACACTGGGACCAGACAGCCTGGCTCTGAACTCGCTCTCCCACTTAGTTGTGTGGCCTTGGACACATTATTTAACCTCTCTGGGCCCCAGTGTCTTCCTCATGGGGATGATGACAATGCCTGTCTCACCGGGGCATGGTAAGGTTTAGATAATTATTACTTGTAAACTGCTCTCAATAAGTGCAGACCACTGTGGATTCTTGCTGAGTGTAGTCTGTGGGTGGAGGTAGCAGGAGCAGATGGGGAGTTAGGAGCCAGGTGCCGGCTTGTCTCTAAGGCCAAGCACTGTGCCTTCTTTCCAGGACTTGCTCACTGAGTATGCAGCAAATGAAGGAATTGATTTCGTGTTCAGGAGATCCTGCTCAAAGGACAGAGCGACATTTGTGTGTTTGAGCCAAAAAAAAAAAAAAAAAAAATCGTTACCCCACTCAAAGATTCAAGTCTCATGGAATGTGCTGCTTTTGGTGGCCTAAGTCTGAAATGTATGATGGGTTAGAGAGCACACCGTAAAGATACAGGGCAATGCCGCATTCCACTGTGACTCCTGGAAAAGCCCCCATGCTGCACATGCTGAGAAATGAACCCAGGATCTGAGTGATTTTTTTAAAAGCCAAAGAGCAAGCCATGGCAGTGTCTGCCTGCTGGGCAGTGGAGGACTCGCATCCCTTAAAGAAAACAGTCATTTAAAACGCAAGTGTTTTGTGGTGTTTATGTAAGATCATATGGGACAAATAACTTCCTTTTACCAAACTGTGTAGTCAATTGCATGGAGAAGCTTGAACAGTAGTTTAACCAGGGTTGATATTGCTTTTCCTTTATCTTTGGATCATTTTCAAATTAGTTGAGAATTCTGCTGAAGGTAATTCATAGACACTCCTTTCTCCCACTGAATATTGAAACTTCCCTGACCTCAGTTTTATTAAAATATAGTGATAGGCTGGGTGTGGTGGCTCAATCCTGTAATGCCAGCACTTTGGGAGGCCGAGACGGGTGGATCACGAGGTCAGGAGATCGAGACCATCCTGGCTAACACGGTGAAACCCCGTCTCTACTAAAAAAATACTAAAAAAAACTAGCCGGGCGAGGTGGTGGGCACCTGTAGTCCCAGCTACTCAGGGGGCTGAAGCAGGAGAATGACGTAAACCCAGGAGGCGGAACTTGCAGTGAGCCGAGATCCGGCCACTGCACTTCAGCCTGGGCGACAGAGCAAGACTCCGTCTCAAAAAAAAAAAAAAAATACAGTGATATGTACATATAAGCTGAAGTCAATACATTTATTCAACAATACATTGCTCTGAGGCTTTAATGGGATAAGATATGCAAACCAATTCACCTGGTACATGGTAGGTGTTCAGTGAAAGAGGACTCTCTTTATGTCATAATGCGTGGATGTCAATACCCAAGGTAGTGTGCTGCCCCCTGGCCACTCAGTGTGGTTCAGGGACCAGGGACATTGGCATGATGCTGAGGCCTGCTAGAAATGCAGGTTCTCAGGCCCTGCCCCAGGTCTATGGAATCAGATTCCACATTTAAGAAGATCCCATGGTGATTTCTGTGCAACTTCAAGTTGTCAAACCTTGTCTTATAGACGCATGGCTGTGAGTTCTAGGGGGATATAAGGGTCTTGTTACTTTTTTGGTTTAGTAAGAAAATGAGTTATTATTCCTTCCCTTCCCCATCACCCTGTCTCCCTCCTCTAGCACACTAGGCAGGAGAATCCGGTACCTACCTCCTCCCTGCTTTGAGTTCAGCTCCAGAACGGTCAGCAAGGCTTAACGTCTGCTGGCCTCAGCTTCTTCATCTGTACTATGGGTAGTTCTGAGCGGCTGCGCCTCCAGGCATTGCCTTGAGGCTCCGGTGTGGTTCTGCAGGTGAAAAAGCTTGGCCAAACTCTCCCAGTGTAACTGTTGATGCCGTGATGTGTGCCGACTCTCGCTCCCCTTCTCCACGTAGTGTTGCACGCGTGTAGTAGCAACGGGAGCCCGGAGCCCCCAGCCAGTAGCCCGGAGCCTTCAAACTTAGGAGTGCGTCTGTTTTACTGGATGCTTCCTTCAACAGCTCTTCCTGGAAGTGGGTGGTCTAGGTATGACTCCGGGGCAAAGGGGAGACTTTCCAGCCAGCCCCAGTGGCCACATGGTGCTGGGGAAATGAGATGCTGCTGCTTCTGGCTTCCATTCAACAACTAAGCGTAGAGCACCCACCCCATGCCAGGCACAGTGCTGCCTGTTGGGAGAGGAACAGTGGACAAAGTCCTGCTTCCATGGGGAGGATGTTCTTAGATTCTGGGGAGGGGAAACAAGCAAGACTCGAATAAATACTGAAGATGTCAGAAACAGGGAGAGGCTAAAATGGTGTGAGGAGGTGAGCCAGGCAGCCACCTGGCAGAGAGAACAGCAAGTACAAAGCCCCTGAGGTGGGAACAGTTGACTGTGGTTGAGGAAATGCTTTATGTTTTCTAACAGCTGCAATTTTCAAAAGTAGTACCCTGTGTATAGGATTTTACGGAGAAACCACCACCCTGAAAGTGGTTGTAAGGAGCATCATTGAAACACCTGTTTGAAAACAGGTGTTTGGCTACCTAATTAAGTCTTCAAACCGGCTTAAACAGATGGAGAGATGAAGGCACAGAGACAAAACAGCTGAATGAAGGTCAGCCAGCCACAAAATGACCCCTCTAGGCCAGGCCTGTCCTGAGTCCACTGCCAGAGCCCTGGTCTCCACACTGCATGACCCCCTGAGGGTTCACTATTCATATTTTGCGATTCTTTGCTAGTTGCTATCATTTGATAGTCTCCAGAAATCTGGTATTTTCAAAAGAGTATTGCAAAACTTACATTTTTTTTCCAAAGGGAAGTAATTCAAACCTGCATTGCCGTGATTTTTTCCCCTCCAGGAACATAAAAATTAATGTTTTAAAGTTTATATATGGAAAGCTATGATGTAGCATTAGAAGCCACAGGCTCTCGGGTCAGACAGATTTTTATTCAAATCCTGTCCCTAGTTATGATGTAACCTGAGGCAAGTTAGTTCACCTCTGTGAGTCTCAATTTTCTTGTCTGTAGAATGGGTACAATCAACGCACACGTCTTGACGTGTTGTGGTCAATGGAGAATTTATCTAAAGTGCTCACAAAGTAAGCACTCAAGGAATATCAGCTAACATTTGCTGCACTTGGCCTTTCTAACCCAACCTAATCATTATCGTGTCTTCTCTCACCTTTATATTTATAATAGTCCCTAACACTCATGTATTCAACACAGGCGACATGACATAGTACAGCCAGGTGCTCTGGTAACACTCACCCCACTTCTGATCTGGCCCAAGCACTGGCTGCCTGCTTCAACCATGGACAGACCCTCCCAGTCTCCCAGTTTGCTGTGGACATTGCCATTGTATTTCGCCTGGAATCCGGCCCACAGGGTACAGCGATGTCCCCTGCCCGGCACCAGCTGAAATTGGCATTTTCCAGCCCTGTTAACTCAGAGGAAAAGAGGATGTGAAAACATCCATTAGTGGATGGCACCTTTCCCGACAGAATGATTCTGCACTTTTGTAAAAGGTTCTGCCTGAGTGAAGGTTAGAGTGAAGCCATTGGGGTAAATTCACTTTGTCCTGACCCTCTCTGAGGGTTCAGTAGCACTGGTTTCACTTCCTAGCCACAGTCGGCCTGCAGAGACATCTGCTGGGACAATTCACGATGGCAATGCCCTCTCCATTGTCTCTTTTTCTGCCGAAGCCTTCCTAACACACAGCACCACCACAGCACCTCCCTGGAACCCTCACTGGCTCCCTAGTGCCCAGAGTACAAAGTCTAGGTTGCTTAGTCTGACCTTCGAAGCCCTCTAGAGCCCCTTCCAACTGCCACAGCTACATCGTCCACCTCTCAAAGATGCCCCTGCTGGCCATCATGGCACTGTGTTTTGTTTTGTTTTATTTTGTTTTGTTTTCAGTTGTTGTAACAACAACATTCAGTTGTTGTACCAAGTACTGTTCTAGGTGCTGGGGCAATATTCCAGCCCAGGGAGACAGGGTGGCGCTGACACACAGAAGGCGCTCTATAGACGTTGGTTGAATGAAACTCACAGGAGTCCTATGAAGACAGGTCATTGATGCCATTTTTCATGGGAGAGCAGAGTGAGGCTCAGAGAAGGTAAGCAACTTGTCCAAGGTCACACAGCCAGGAAGCAACAGAGCTCAGCTGTGAACTCAGGTCATCAGATCAGGAAACTCTTCCCCACTGCTCCTTCTGGCCTGCCACACTCTGATGAGAGACTGTTTCCTAAGCATGAACGTCAAGAAAGATCAGAATGACAGCCAGGCTCTCAGGCTGATTTGTAAAGCCCAGAAGTTGTTCCTGGGGGATTCTCAGAAGTTGTTTGGAAACTGTAAAGCCGGACATTAGATTACAAAGCCGTGTCCTACAGATCATTTTGCCCTCCGAGTCACGGAGTCCCACACAGATATTACAGCAGAGGGTTCCAGACACAGAGAGATCGTGTCACTCACCCAGAGCCCAACAGCTGCTACATTCAGGGCCCAGAATTCAAGCCAGGTTCAGGCCGCATGCCCGCTTACTCAGCAGCTCCTCGGCCGCCCTGCATGTGAGGGGGTTGCCGGGAAACCCCTGCCACTGCCAGACTGAGGTCACACCATTCCCTTAGGGTGGGAGAGAGTAGAAAATTGCCGGTTGTAAAATATAATGTACGGAGTGCTCAATGCCAAGCTCTGCTCTAAACACTTGGTACAATTTTGCTTGTTAAATCCTTAGATGTGGGCGGCACCCGTCTATAGATAAGGACACCAGGCCTCAGGGAGGCGGAACAATGGCCCGAGGTCACAGACCCAAGAGAATCATTTTTTTTCTCTGTCTCCTTCATGGAATCCATTCTGTTTGGCTGCCCCTGTGATCATCCTGAAATCAAAAGCTCATCATGTCCCTGCTTAGAACCCGTCACTGGCTCCCCATGGCAACCCCAAAGCTGTGAGCACCTCATCAGGACATGGGCCATTCCAGACCCTCTGAGCTCTGTCCCCGACCCCACACCTCAGGCCCCTTGGCCTCCTGCATGTGCCGTTCCCTCTGTCTGGAATTCCCTTCCCCTCCTGTGCATCTGGTGAACTGTCATAGGTCCCTGCTGGGTTCCACGTCTCCTCCAGCCCACAGCTCAATCCCTCACCCCTCACCCTCCTCACGCCTCTTTAGTTATTTATTTATTGAGATGGAGTCTCGCTGTGTCACCCAGGCTGGAGTGCAATGGCATGATCTCGGCTCACTGCAACCTCCGCCTCCCAGGTTCAAGCGATTCTCCTGTCTCAGCCTCCCCACAGGAGCACACCGCCATGCCCGGATGCCCGGCTCATTTTTGTATTTTTAGTAGACGCATTTCACCATATTGGTCAGGCTGGTCTCGAACTCCTGACCTCAGGTGATCCACCTGCTTCAGCCTTCAAAAGTGCTAGGATTACAGGCTTGCGCCACTGCGCCTGGCCCCTCTTGGTTTTCTTGATGGCGTTTGCGTTCATCTGATGCCCTTTCTATTTATTTGTAGCTGCTATTGTTTGAACCATAATTGGACTATAAGGGGAGAGACTTTGTCTTCCTCCCCAGGACTGAAACACGCCCAGGCATATGGAGCCCTATTTACTGAGTGACTAAATGTGCCCACAGCGGTGGTTCTCAAAGCAGGGGCCCTGGACCATCCACGTCCTCATCACCCAGGAGCTTGCTGGCGTGCACCTTTCACGCAGGCCCCACCCCAGCCAGGCTGAGTCAGAAGCTCTGTGGGCGGAGCTTGGCAATTTGCATTTAAATAAGCTCTCTGGGTGATGCTGACACAGGCTGGAGAACCACTGCCCTACAGAATGCAAGACGGCTTCTCTGGGCCTGAATAAAGGCCTGTGGTGACTCCACTTTTAATTTCTGCTGGCTGGAATCGTCCACCCTTCCACCTCCCAGCATTGTCTCAGTGCATGAGCTCTGTATCCCATTCAGGGCGGACAAGGGGCAGCAGCCCACTGGACAGAGTTACCCCAGAGGAACCCACTTTGGTGGGGCCCTTGATGGGGCTTAAGCCCTGTGAGCACATGAAGAGCTGGAAACGGGGGAGTTCACGGGGGAGTTCACCAGATTCCCTTGGTGGAGAGGCTGCGTGGGACGGGAAGGAATGAATGGTAAACCACCCAGGGAATTAATTCTGCAGGCGCAGCACCAAGGAAGGTGACCAAGAGTCCCGGTTTGCCCAGGACGGAGGGATTTCCTAGGACTCACACCAGGAAAGTCCTGGGCAAACCGGATCTGTTGGTCACCATGGTACCACGTGCTGAGTGGGATTCTAAGAGGATAGGGTGGATGCTGGTGCAGTGGCTCCCACCAGCACCTCCTCTGCCCTTCTCCCTTCCCCCACCAGCCCCCAGGCTGCAGCTAAATAAATCTTGGACAAGTACGTGACTTGGTGTCACATCCCAACCATGCCCTTTATTAGCTGCTCAGGGTGCCTACATGTTTTGGCCCAGTCTCAATGTTTTATTTTCAAAAGATCCCCTCTTAAGAATGGGTACTGTGTAATTCTATTTCCACAAACTTCTAGAACAGGCACGATCCATTATTAGCGACAGAAGTCAGAACAGAATCCCTTTGCAGGGCTGGAATTGAGCCAGGGGACCAAGGCCTTCTGGGAGCTGGGACGCTCTCTGTCTTGCTTTGGGCGGTGGTGACACGGGCTTGTGCACGTATCAGAGCTCACCAAGCTGCCCGCACTGTTTGTATCCTTTATAGCTTCTGTGCTAGACCACAATAAAAAAAATAAATAAAAATAAAAGCAGAGGTTTTAAACCTGGAAAATGTACTTTTTCTGACACATAGCCTGGTGTATTTCAGAGAATCCGAGAACTGGAGGACAAACTGGAGTTTCAGAAGCGGCACCTGAAAGAACTGGAGGAAAAGGTGGGTGACTGCAGCTCACACTGTCCCCAGGTTTCTTTCCATGAAATGTTAGCGCGGAATCATTTTATTTCATAACGTCCAAAGCACAGACTCTGTCTCCAGCCCTCCTTTCTCTGCCCTTCTTCCCCCAAATCAGCACCTCATGGAAATTGGTAGCTCCTCAAAATTCCTTCCTGGTTAAGGCATTTCCTTCTCAATGGCTGTCAAAAATTCTGCAGGCTGGGGCAGCTCTGTGTGTCTTTTTCACAAAAGCCTTTCCCCTGAATCCCTCCCCTGCTGTCTCACTAGGAAAGAGGTGAAGCATATAAGCTCGCTGAGGTCGGTGGCATCCCCCTAACCACAGACACAGGTTCTCCTCCAGGGACTCATTCATTTTTAAATACCTTCTGTATGCCCCAAACCAGTCGCATGTTCCTGGAAGACGCAGCCTCTCCCATCCCAGAGGACGTGAGGTTGGCCTCTCACTGGGCTTTGAGTATGTTCCACCAGCCCATTTACCATGATGCCCAATTTATGGGTGAGGAAACTGAGGCAGAGATCGATTAGGACACCTGTCCATGGTCCCACAGCTAGGAAGGGATGGCTGGGGTCTCCATGGACGTCATAGCCATCCCACCCTGCCCCTCCATATGACGTTGGTCCAGACACACACATGAGTCTTGCTCAGGACACACGCAAAGCGGCTTTATCATGGCATTGCCCTTCATCTTCTTCCACCTGATGGCTGTGAATCCTTGAGGACAGGGTCTACGTGGTGTTCATCTGATTCAAGACATTTCTTGCCACAGGATAGGGCATCATCAAATGTTTGTGGATGAGTAAGCAAATGATCCTAGATGAGTACAGAAAAACAATAATTGCCTATTTAGTGTCACAGAGGTAAGTTCAAGTGTGGCAACAAGATGGAGGGCCGCTGAACCCATCCAGGAGGTCCGGGGGCCGGCATGCCTTTGCCCGAAGAGGGGGTCCCACCTGAATCTCAAAGGTCAAGGTGGGATCAGCTTGGGAAGAGGAGGTAGAAAGGGCATCTCTGGGCTTCATGTGTCTGAGGCCAGTCTTGTGAGAGAGGAAGCTGACTCATTTCAGGGACAAACCAGGGCAGAAGTCTCTGGAAGGCAGATTCTGGGGCTGTCCGGAAAAGGGATGACAGCCTTTCCAGTCCTGTAGAGAATCAAATCATGTGCCCAGAGAGATGGGACAGCTCTTAAGATTTCACCTCTGTTTCAGATGCTTCCTCTCCCTTCTTTTGTGAGAGTCGGCTCCCTGCAGATGAAATCACCTTCCCATCTCTGCTGGAGGCGTAGGGCCCTGCCAGGTTGCAAGTGGACTGAGGATCTGTGCACAGGGGTGGGGGCAGGGCTCACCTGCCAGTTCCCTGGTTACCCTCATGGGAACCCCAGTTTTAGCTGATTCGTAGAGTCCCCATCTGCCAGATGCCCACCCCCACCAACCTCCTAAGGATATTTTGAGAACTCAAGGGGGTCTCAGGTATGATTGAATTTAAGAATTGCTTGAGGCATGAGCTGGCTTTGCAGATAGATGAGCCTGGGCTCTCCTCTGGTCTTGCCCAGGTGGGCCCAGAGAGCCTGGGAAATTCACTCCTCTGCCCCAGGCCTTGGTGTTCTCATGTGCTGCTAGGAATGGTGCTCTGTCTCTGAGGGTGGATGTAGGGATGAAATTAGGTTGAGGATATGAAAGTTCGCAGCCCAGGGCCCAGGCAAGGCATGTGGACTGGCAGCACCAGTTCTTCCCATCTCCTAGGTAGTTCTACCATGTCTGTTGGTAAAATGGGTTACAGAGCCAGATATGATAAAAGAAAGGCTTAAAACATGCCCAAGGTCATCCTTGCTGATTAAAATGTTAAAAGTCAGGTGCAATGAGCACACACTTAAAATAACCTCAGCAGTGAGAATACCTGGGAAATGTTGGAATCCTCTTTCTGGCTCTGTTTTGACTCTTTTCTCAAAGCCAATGTTTGGGGACTGGTCTGTCTCCTTTTGCTGCAGAAGGGAGTTGTGGAGGCTGGCATGTAGAGCAGGAGGGACTGGCCAGGATGGACGCCTGATGAGGCCTGTAGGGCTGGAAACCTTCCAAGATGCCTCATGCCACCTTCATTTCTTTATAGGCACTGGGGCCTGTGACCGTGGAAATAGCTCCAGCCACCACTATCCCTGGCTCATCAGTCCCTTTGTCATTGCCAGAAACTCTTTCCTGCCACACCCCACTGGACGGTCTTAATGAATCCTTCCCTCGCCCCAGGCCTCAGTTTCCCCATGTGGAAGATGAAGGGCTGGGTGATTCCCAAGGCCCCTTCTAGCTCTGACTTCCAGTGATCCTACACCTTGTTTAGAAGTTGATGGCTGTCAGCTTGGACTTTTCCAATACATAATATAAGGAGATATTACCTTGTTTTTGGGGGAAAAAAGGCCAACTCAAGGATTATTTTCAAAAGCCCCAGCTGATGTTCAGATATGTTTCACCTAATGACTTGCAACTTCTTTTCAACAAAGCAAGTCCTGAAAAGGGTAAGAAAAGAATTCTACTTTTAAGTCGACAAGTTTAATTTTTCCTCCTGTTAAGACCGTTTTTCCCTGATATTTTTTTCTCTGTAAGTAAACTAATCAAATGACATGAAAGATTTTAAACAGTGACTCTCTTGGAAGAAAGAACCCTGGTAAAGTTGGTATAGGGCTGGGGTGTCTTTGACTTCCCTGGGCCACATTGGAAGAAAAATTGTCTTGGGCCACACATACATTACACTAACACTAACAATAGCTGGTGAGCTAAAAAAAAAATTGCAAAAAAAAAAAATTCATAATGTTTTAAGGAAGTTTACATCTGTGCTGGGCCACATTCAAAGCTGCCCTGAGCCACATGGGGCCCGTGGGTAGAGGGCTGGGCAAGCGCGGTGTAGGGGAAAGGGCTCTGCTGGTCTGTAAGTTGGACTGGGTGACCTTGAGTGGAATTTACCTTGATCTTTGGTGCACACATCATGCCCCCGTCTCTTGGTGGGAGCCACTGACCACGACCACTGGCTGGGCCTTCCTCTGTTTATACTGGCCTGCCCACGTTCTGCGTGCAGTCCACATCACAGCACCAAAAAGACCTGTCCCGGTCCAGAGTGTCAGTCTCCCCTGTCTGAGTTAGCCGCATGTTTGGGGAGGGGGTCGGGATAACCCACCCTGAGTGTGGAAGGCCCCAGGATGCGTTTCCCAGGGGAGATCAGTCCCTAAGGCCTGTTTACTTCCCATTTCTCTTTCCCAACCCAACAACTCAGTGTCATAATTCTTGTAAAATGCTGTCATTGAGTTCCATACTACATATCTTACATCTGTTTTCTTTTCTTTTTCTTCTCTCTTCCTCATTTTCTTTTGGTATTATTTTATAGTTTTTGTTCCTTTTTTTGTTTTTCTCACTAGCATTCATTCTGTGGCCTTGATGACTTCAGTGAGCCAAGACCTCGGGTTGGTATCCTTTCCTTTTCGCAGATGAAAATGATGATTTTCTAAAACGGGAGGAGTCCTCCCAGTCCCTGACGGTCCCGTTCCTTGAGAGATGAGGCACTGTGGAAGGTGGCGTTGTGCTGGACGCCTCAGCTCATGGGGCTGGGTCACCGGGGGGACCCGCCCTGAGGGGGGGCATCAGGGAGGCTCACTGTGAAGAAGAATCTCCTTTGTGGAGTTTCATCCACAAAGGGGGACTCTGTTTTATTCTAAAGGTTCTCTCCAGTTTGGCTTCAGTCCCTGGTGCTCTCAGTTGCCGTGTGGACCAGTGAGTCCTCTGCAGAGTCCAGCGTCTTTGGCTTCCAGGTTCAAGGGCTGCAGGAGCAGGAGGTTGCTGGACAAATGGCTCATGGGCCCAGACTGCCACTTACGTGCAAAGTGCCCCAGGGTGCCCATGTAAGAAGCCGCCCAGCTCCCTCTCACCCCTGTCCTGTGCTGGGTTTTGACACCTGTGCCGTGCTCAGGGACCTCTGGAACAAGGCCACCTCAGCATCTGGTCCTCCTCTGACCACTGAGCCCTGTGTGTCCCCAGGACCCAGCTCCCACCCTAGACACCTGGGCCCTTGCACATTCTCCCTGAGAGTGACCATTTCAGAGCCAGGGGCTGCCAGGACCCATAGACTCTAGAATTCTGTCTTTGAATCCAGCCCAGGCTGAGGGCCCCCTGGGTTCCGGGGATACCTACAGCACCCACCAGGTAGCTACCTGGACCCCTTGGGCTGAGCTCCAAGGCCAGGGCCCTGCCTGATGTCCTCATGGGCGTCCCTGAGGCTGACCCCAGTCCCCAAAGGCTTTGGTCTGGTACCTTCTGTACCCAAGTGTCTGGGACAGTGCTGGACACATGGTCGATATTCATTCGATGTTTATGGACTGAGTAAGGGAAGGATCTCAGGTCTTAGAGGACAGCTGACACTCAGTCCCATCTGATCAGAGGTGGGGGTGGCCACAGCGGGTGGATGGGTGTTAGGGGATGGGTGATTTGATCCTGCTGCTGCTGCTGCTTCTCCTGGGTTGTGGGGGAAGGTCCCTCAGGGCTCAGCTGGGGTGTTCATGACAGCAGTGGGGGGAGGGGGCAGATAAAGCCAAGGGATGCTCCAGTCATTTTAACCCTTGGTTCTTGTGTTGTTTCAAATTATGTTTTAATCTTTCAGGATAGAAAAAGAGTTTATGGAATAAACTGAGTCGCTACGGCAACCCCAACCCCACTCAAACCAAATTCAACAGCGAAACAAGCTATTCAAAGTCCAGAGACTGCAAACAGAATTTATGTATATTTGACAATAGCTTTAAGGGGAAGCCTTTGGACACGTGGCTGGGTCCTGGCCAGCCCAAGCCGTAAGGACTCTGCAGGGACGATGGGGATTTTGTCAAACTTGGAGCCACATCCATGTCCCAGCTCTGGCACCTTGAAGGCCCAAGGGGGCAGAGACCTGAATGCCAGGAAACTAAGTGCAATTACCAGAAACCAAGGGATCGGCAGCCACTGCACTGTCTGGGGACAGGCCCGAGTCCTCATCCCCACGCTAGATGCCTCCCCAGGCCACAGTGTGCGTGTCCAGCTGGACCCGGGTGGGTGCCGTCTCTGCCCTGTGTACATAAATCTCCACGAACCGTGCTGTGTTCGTCCCAGAGTTTGTCTGCCGGAGCGACTTGCAAGTGTCCTTGTAATGTGAACCCCAGTTCAAGTTCTGCTCAGCAAAACCTCTGAATCTGTTCACAGCTGGATTCAGCAGCTGGCAGCCAGAGAGACAGGGCAGGACTCTGATGAGGGGCTGGAGCCTTGCCCATCATGGAGGAGCTGACCCCAGGGACCTCAGATTTCCGAGGGGAGGCCGAGGGCTCTGTCACTCTTGTGGGTGTGACACGGCAAAAGTCTCAGAGCATGACTGTCCCTGGGACCAGGTGGACTGAGGACTGATAGAGCAGACATGACCACCAACCAGGCCACACTTGGGCCTGTGTTGCATCTCGGTGGTAATTTGCAAGGGGCTGCCAAGGAGGAGACGCTGGAGCACCTGCAGGAACTAGGTTATTTCCACAGCGGCCCCGAGACCAGGTCCTGCTGTCACCACTGTGGGGAGGAAGTGAGCTCTTCCTGCCTTGGGAGGCCACCCCTGGATGGAGCCAGGAGAGCTGTCAGGGTGTTGGAGGCCTCCCTGGAGAGGAGATGGAGTGGGGCAGCTACAGAGAGTCAGACACCAGCTGAGGATGGTCAGCCCAGGAGGAAATTCCCCAAGTTCCTTTCCGATGATGTTCCTGTTGTTATTCTAGGCTGGGTGGGGTGGGGGCATCTCCAGAAGAAGCCACCTGCTCACAGGATGCCTCTCCCAAACTTCTGCACGGGAAGACGTTTGGAATTAGAATAGATGAAGTGAAACAGAAGACTGAATGTGACGAGGAGGCTGGCTGTGTCTGCATGGGAAAAGCCGGCTGAAGGCCAGGCCAGGTCATCCTCAGCTGGTTGCAGGTGGACGGGCTCAGGCCCTGCTCATCAGGTGGAAGGAGCGGGTCTGTGGTCTCTGGTGAGAAGGACCTTTGGACAAAAGGGAAATGACTGAAATTTAGGCGGTTGAGGGAACTCATGGGGTGAGGGCGACAGAAGAGCTAGAAGTTCTCAGAAGACCAGATCCACGGATGGAGAAGGACACGGTGCCCTGCACAGAAAGGGCCCTGCTAGCTGGGGTGGGCTGCTCACACCACATCCCAGGATCCATCTCTAAGCAGAAATGCACCAGGATGGCCCAGCATTACTCATTCTCTTTTGAAATCAAAACCCCAAAGCACCCACTAGCTCAGCCTCCATAACTTACCAACACTTGGTGAAATACAAACAAACTGATGTCGGTTGAAAACATAGGCATCCTAGCAGCCCAGGGGGCGATGGGAGAGTGGGATCGCACAGTGAGTGAAAACAAAGGCACATCTACGGTTTCCGGCCGGGAAGCACAGGATGCATTGCTGTGCTAACTTCTGCGGGCAGAAGTCTAGGGGCACCCATGGGTCTCTGGAATGTCGGTCCAGCACTCTTGCAGCCACTGCAGGAGTGCGGTCCTCACGCCTGACTGTCCCCATCCTTCAGTGGGTGAAGGGCAGTGTCTGTGTCTGCTGGGCTCTCCCACTGAGATCATGTGACCGAAATGGCCTTGGCTTTGAAGTCAGACCCATTGGTCCCTGCCAGCCTGGCCTCTTCCTGCTGCGGACACTGGCAATGTCCTTGCCGCTCTGAGGAATGGTGGTGATAGTTCCCATGTGAGGCCTTGGGAGAGGTCTGAGCTGAAGCGTTAGACCCGCAGGCTCCCGCAGGCCACCGTGGCTGCTGGTGGGAGACATAGCATCCTCTGTTCTCTCCTTGGGAGTTGTCCTCAGAGGAGTCCATACAGCCGGCCCGGGGCCAGGACCCGTTCTCTTTGGCCCTCCAGGAGGCGGTGCAGGATGAAGCGTGAGGCTCACACTGGCAGGTATGGGGGTTTCCCTGCATAGAAATGCAGAGTCCCTATTAGGAACCAGTATTTCTTGTCACAGTCCCAGCCATGGCTTCCCGGCTCCCTGCTAGGCACAGTCCTGGCTGCTAGGACCCCAGTTTCAGGAAGCTTCAGAGCTGTGCTGTGCCCCAGTGCCCTCACCCCTCATCCACAGCCCTGTGCACAGGTCAGGCACATCTGCCAGGGCTTTGGATGTTGTTGTCTAGTAACACGTATGTGGTTTCCAGGGCAGCAGAGTTACAAAGTCTGGGGAACCCAAGGTCACTTCCTCAGGTAGAAAGGAGAAGTGTGGCTCCACACTTTAGCATAGCCCTCCCCACGGGTCAGCTAGGAGGTTCAGCGGAGAGCCAGCCCCGAATGTTCCTGGCACAGAGATGTCCACGGTGCAAACACAGGTTTCCACTTCTCTCTCTTAACCTCAATCCTCTGTAGGCCAAAGGCGACCAGGGAGGAGCTGGGGCAGAGAAGTCAAGGGGTCAGACTGCGTTCTGTCACCGCCACTCTGGCCGCCTCCTGCGGGCTGAGGAGCCAAGGCCGGGACTGAGGCCGGGAGACCAGTTATGCAGGGACAAGCCGGGCTGATTTGTCCAGGACGGCGGGGGGTTCTGGGAACACAGGACTTCCTGTTTTAAAATGGAGGAGGTTCTGGGCAAACTGGGAGGTCATTACCCCACGGGTGTGAGGCTTTTCTCACCGAACCCCACTTCCCTTCCGGGTCTGCAGCTGGCCGCAGGTGTTTTGGCTGAAGCGCAGTGCCTGTGCCGAGCAACTTAGGTGAAATGGGCTTTGTATTTCACACGGATGCCCTGAGAGCCAGCTCACGCTCAAGGGTGTGAAATCCTACACAGCCTGCCCCCAGTTCGGTGCTGGGCCCTGAGGGGAGGGGAGGAATACAAACGTGTGGGCGGGCGGGCGTCTCCCCCAGTCAGGGGCAAGGCTCACCCTGGCTGGTTGCATGCCCCGCTTTAGCTCCGGCTTCCCCATCCTTCCCAAGCAAATTCAACATCTGCTCCCATCCGCTGCTCCTTTATCCGCCGGGAGCATCCAGGACTGTGGCCCCCGTGTCTTCCTCGCCGGCTGTAACCCCTCTGTAACCAGTAGCAATCCTGCCTGACACCCCCAGGACAAACAGTGGCCAGTTTCATCTTTGGTTATTTTCTCACATTTAAACAGGGTTTGCCAGGGCTCTGCCAAATTGGGTGGGAAATGGCAAACATGCCGTTGTGGGGTCCTCTTCCCTCCCGCCCCACCTGGTTGTCTGGACTCCTAGGGCCTTCTGTAGGGACTCTTGGGGCCTTCTGTAGGGCCCTTCTCTACGCCCCAGATTCCGGCTCTGAAGTAGGGTGGAGCCCAGGTCTTCACACGGCCAGACCTCCTTATTTCCCTCCCAGCTTCCCCCCAACTCTCAGGGGCTGTTGTTCCAGTAGAAACAAGGACTCTTGATTTCTTCCATAGCCTGTGTTCTCCCTGTTACCACCCTCAG